ATCCCGCCTCAGAAGCCTCATGTAAGTGGGCATTAAGTGCCTGGTTTGTGATGACTATTTGCCGCTACCTGACAGCTTCCTGGAAACCTCCTCATTCTACGTGGGAGAAAGAAGAAATGACGGTGCCGTCTTAGAAATCGTGGTTGGGATTTCCCCCTGTAAGAACGCACAGAGTTAGTCATATCAGGGACCTGGTTTTAGCACAAGGCAGTCATAGGGACGCCCTGTGATACAGGAAAGTTATGAGGCGTGGGCTCTGACCCCGGTTCATCTTGGAAATGTCTTTGGGACCTTAGGAAATTTACTGACCCTCCCCAAGTCCTCGTGCCGTCCTCTGTAAGGAGATGCTCTCTAAGATGTTTCAGCTCTGACATTTTGTGACCTTCGTGCAGCCACAAATCTCACAGATCTGCAGAATCTTGGTCTCTATCTTCCTCGTCTTCCTTTGGAGCCACGAGGAGATCCTGCTAACAGGATACGCCATCTCTTCCGAGGCCAGTCCTTTGTCAGGGTCCTCGGGTCTCTGGCTACCTGCGTGGTCCTTCTAAGACAGACAACTGATGCTATTTCGCCCATTTAAAATTTTCCAGTGGGAACCACTGGCCACTTCCCCGGGCCTCCAGGTCGCACTGCTCTGCTTCTTCACGTGTCTAATAATCTTCTGTTGTGCACTAGACTGTGTGAATGACCCTGTAGGGAGCCAGGATGTCCTTGTCTCCCTTTAAAGGGTGGTGAGTTTTGTCCTCCAAACAAGGGAGACAGACTTGTATGCAGGTTTGGCAGCGTGTCTCTCTGAGTCCCATCTCTTATGTGTTCTCCCTCTCCCACCTGTCTCTCCGTATGTTTCACAAATTCACTCAGTTTTCTCTAAAAAAACAAACAACAACAAAAATCAAAGACCATCTAAGAAACAGAAATACTTAGTCGTTGACTCCATTTATATTCCCAGTAGAAAAAATCAAAACAGAATAAAAGCGAGCATGGCAAGAATCATACTTGGTAAAATTGTTTTTTAACCAAAAAAAAAAAAACCCCAAAAAACAAAAACAAAATAATAAGATCTCCTAGACCACATTAGCTTATATACAATTTGACCCAGGAGTGTCAAAGCTGGCAGGAATAAGGGCCCACACCTCCTGATGGCAAAGCTTTCATCAGTACGGTTGGATGTGAAGGAAATAAACAGACCTGTGAGCGAAACCTCTGCTGTGTGCTGCGTAATAAAAGGAAGAATAGATGCAAAAATAATTCTGGTCACACAAGAGCAAGGAAAACTAGGAAATAGTGCAACTGCATCGTAGAGCAAGCTTGACGAACAGAATACATTGGCTCGACAGAGTTCATGCTGGAAAATACCTGCTCCACAAGCACTCCTGAATGCTTATGGAACTCCAGCGTAAAGTGTTTCTATTTACAAGCCCCCTGGGATGAAAACGATGGGTTCGACATGCCTCTGCACCACAGGCCTCTTCTGCTTCTCCATGTCCTGGTCTAAGGTTGTCCTTTTTCCAGAAACTACCCTTCTGAGCTAGCCACCTGACCGCCTCACCCTTGGCCCTGAGCCCAGCCCAAGTGTCAGCGCCTCAGGGAGGCCACCCCGAAGCCTGACACACAGCTGGCTCCCACCAATGACAGAGTGGGGACGCTATCGGGCGAAGACCATGGTCCCCCGACACCCGGATAGCAGATCTCAATACAGACTGGAGAGCACAGGCTTGGTGCTTCCCAGGCCCGCCCTGGCTCCAAGGAGCTGTGCAGCTCTGGCCAGTTCCCCTGCAACGCCTCCCCATCCTGGGTGTTGGTGTCCCCATCTGTGACGTAAGGGGGTGACTGGATGATGGGGACCCGCCCAGCTTAGGGTACATCCAGCCCCGTGTGGACTCAGCAGCCTCCAGACACTTCCCCTCGCTCTGCCCCGCCCCTGCATCCAGTTCCTCTCCCCACACTTTCTCTTTCCTTCTCTGTCTGGACACCGGGTGGCTGGCTGTTTGGTTCCCAGTCTCCTGCCTGGAGCGCACCAATACCCAGGGTGCCCGGCTGCCTCTCAGGCCTGGGCCACGGTCGCCAGAGGGCCACGAACAACAGGGTGAAGGGAGACCTGCCAGGCAGAAGGGAAGTCCAGGGCTGGCCCTGGCCCCAGGGGCACAGGATTGTGACCTTCTCCTCCATAGCTGTCCTCCTCCATTGCCCCTGGGCGACGGGAGAAAGCCCGGGACGTTGCTGCCTCCAGAAATAAGATGCACTTTCCCACATCAGAGAGCTGGGTTGCATACAGCAAGGCAGAGGCAGAAGTTGGTTAAAGCCTTTGCCTCCTGAGAACTGTCCTCAGGATCCCTGAGAGCAGGTGAACCCTGACTCTGCTCTGTGTGACTCTGGCCCAGCCATTCATCTGAGCCTCATGAGTTCATTTGTCCTACAGACAGAGTGACAGCACGTCTCACACAAGGACACCGGGATGTGCAAGGCAGTTTGTGAACAGTGACCTCCGTTGTAAAGGAGGCTTGTCTGGGGGGCGTGGGCGAGACGCAGTGAATGTTGGAAAGAGATGGGACTTCTGAGCTAGAAGATCTGATTTCAGAGTCCATGTGCCTCCTATGAGCTGTGTGACCTGGAGCCAGTCTCCAACAGCCTTGAGACGAGCCGTAAACCTAGGATCACAATGGCCCCTGGACCTCACCCTAGAGTTGTAAGAAACCAGGGGAGGTGAAGCCCTGATTATTCAGGCGGTCTGGGCAGATGGGTTCGGTCAACGCCGTGGCCAAGGCTGGGTTTCCCGTGCAACAGCTGCAGTCCTCCAAGGGGACAGAGGCCTTGCGAGTTTCCAGCCATAAGATCCTGCCAAGCCCGGCTGGCGTGGCTCAGTGGTTAAGCATTGACCTATGAACCAGGAGGTCATGGTTCAATTCCCAGTCAGGGCACATGCCCGGGTTGCGGGCTCGATCCCAGTGTGGGGCGTGCAGGAGGCAGCCGATCAATGATTCTCCCTCATCACTGATGTTTCTATCTCTCTCTCCCACTTCCTTCCTCTCTGAAATCAATGACAATATATTTAAAAAAAAGATCCGGCCAAGGCCAGAATAGGAAGCTAACAGTTCCTCCCAGCCTTTACCTCCTCCTGAGCGCCCTCCGCAGGCCCACGTGACCCTGGCTGGCCTGCACACTCTGACCCACCCCTTGCCGCTGGAGCAGCACCCACCACTCTTCTCGTCTCCTGTTCACCTTCTCTGGGAAATGCAGGGTCTGTTGGCCGGATTTGGCACCCAGCACAGCTCCTCTGGGCGGGGTCCAGTTCCCTGGTTTGGGGTTCCACCTGCCATAGGGGCTCAGCTCAGTGGGAGTCACTTGGAAGGCCCTGGTGGGAAGGCCAGCCCCGGCTGCTCTGGGAGGAGCCAAGAGCAGAGCCAGGTCGCCCAGGTGTGCTCTGTGCCACCCGCCGGGCTCTCGGCCCTTCAGGACTGATTTGCCAGTTAGAAAACCGCCAGCTCCCTCCAGGTGGCCAGCAAGGGTGGGGCAACGTCACAGATAAGGAAAGCCGGGATAAGAGGCAATGTTTGCCCCTCCGAAATGAGCTGGCGGTAGTCCTCCGATAACTCCGATTAGGCTGCTCCAAAGCCACGGTTTCACCCGTCAGAGCTCTCCTCCGACAGTCCTGGAGCAATCAAAGGCCCTGGGGGTGGGAGGGGGCACCTTCCCTTTGAAGTCCTGTGTCTATTTGCTTATCTGGTTCAGGCCGGTGGAGAACCACACGACTGCTTTTCCTGTAAAATGTGCCTCCTGTGAGCCACCCAGATCCATAAGAAACAAATGTCTGTGGCACAAAAAAGTACGCAATGAATATTGACTAACTGGGAAGTAGGCACATGTTCAAACTGGAAGGCAAGACATACAGCCGCGTCGGTAATCACTGACCACACACCAGCTGTCCACGTGCCCTGCGGTGGTAAAGGCCGGGTGGATGCCGACCGCTCCTGGAAATGCCAGCATCACTTTATTTAGAGGAGTGGTGTTTTGCATGTGGTGGGCCTTTCTTAAAAATATTTCGCCCTTTGTCACGGCCCCTCGCACCTGGTGTTGAAATGACCTGAAAGCTCATCGCTGGGGCCTGGGTGCCTGCTACTCATCACTGTCTTCCTCCAGCCCAGCTGGCAAGTGATCTGGCCAGGTGATTAGCAAACAGTGCTCACCTGCGCCGCGAGGAGCCTCAGAAGGAGAGGGTGGCTTGGGGGACTGTGAGTGCTACTCCAGGCCTCCCCACACTTCCTTGTTACTAAGAGAATCTCTGCTTGTTCTTGCTTAAGTATTGGGTTTCCAAGTGAGATTTCACTTTATTTTTTATATGTTTTTATTGGTTTTATTTATTTTTTTAAAAATATATTTTATTGATTTTTTTACAGAGAGGAAGGGAGAGGGATAGAGTGAAACATCGATGAGAGAGAAACATCGATCAGCTGCCTCCTGCACACCCCCTACTGGGGATGTGCCCGCAGCCAAGGTACATGCCCTTGACCGGAATTGAACCTGGGACCTTTCTTTCAGTCCACAGGCCGACGCTCTATCCACTGAGCCAAACCAGTTAGAGCAGTTTTATTTATTTTTGTTTGTTTTTATTTATTTGAGAGAGAGAGGGAGAGAGAGAGAAACATCAGTTGGTTGCCTCCCCTTTGCACCCTGACCAGGGATCAAGCCACAGCCCAGGCATGTGCCCTGACTGGGAATCGAATGGCGACCTTTCGGTGCACGGGACGACACCCCACCAGCTGAGCCACACCCGCCAGGCCATATTTCACTTGGAAAGGAAGTTCCTCTGTTTTAAAACAAAACATTTGAGAATCAGCAGTGTGTCCCATCCCCGGATTGTATGCATTTCACATACTCAAGGCAGCTGTGAAGGAGGTAAAGTTTACCAGGTCACCTGCTTCCTTCCTGCGTCTCTAGTCCCTGTTGTCTCATGCCTAGCGCTCCTACCCAGCCCCTCCCTCTGGGAAGGGCTGGATGCCTGCCGTGGAATGAACACGTGTGCCCTCTTCAAGGAACGTCACAGTGACGAGCAAGAAGAGGAACAGAAACTAAGGCTGGAACTCTCCAACTTCATCCTGTTCAGTCAAAACCAGACCAAGGAACATTCATGAGTCAGAGCTCTGGGTGACTCTGAGACATGTCCTGGTACCTGTGGCTACATTGGGAAGTTAATACCCGAACGCCTGAGGTTGTAAGTGTCCTGAGGCGGCGCCAGCTGCAAAATTGCCCTGTGCACGTGCAAACAGCACGTGGGGGGAGTGGGGGGGGGTGGACGAGCAAGGGCTTCGGATCCAGATGTCTGGATTCGGGTCTCGAGTGTCCCCTTTATACCCATGTTTTCAGACGTATTATTTTCTGAGTCATGGGTTCTTTCAGAGTTCTTTATACTGATGATCAAATAAAAAGATGTGAACCTTTTTTATAAACTGCAACCCGGGCATGTGCCCTGCCCGGGAATTGAACCGTGACCTCCTGGCTCATAGGTCGATGCTCAACCACTGAGCCACGCCAGCTGGATGGAGTTACATTTCATAATGTCACTTAAATAAGTACACAAATTTAATACGTATAAGCTGCTAGATCACACAGCCCGAAATCTAAAGTAAATGTACAGGTTAAATATCATCAAAGAAACACAACGAAGTCCAAAGTGGCTGATGGACTGGAGTAGGGGAGGTGGTTTGGCCGCGAGTCAGTCGCCTCTCATCAAACAGCAGCCATAGCTCAGGGTCTTTTGCACCTGGCTTGCTGGATGCTGCCCCCCGGGGAGTCGGGGGGAGGGGGGGTACCCTGGAAGAACTGCGAAGCCTCAGGGAGAAGGTGTCACCGGCCTCCATGCAGAACAATCACATCATTCCCATATTCCATGTTCCTCTGCTCTTCACTCGTTCGTTTAGGGCCCAGTGGTTCTCAACCTTCCTAATGCCGCGACCCTTTAATAGTGTTCCTCATGTTGTGGTGCCCCCCACTTTCACTGTTACAAATTGAACATAATTAAAGCATAGTGATTAATCACAAAAACAATATGCAATTATGTATGTGTTTTCCGATGGTCTTAGGCGACCCCTGTGAAAGGGTCGTTCGACCCCCAAAGGGGTCGCGACCCACAGGTTGAGAACCACTGGTTTCGGCCAGTTAACGTACTGCTACTTGCTGCCAAATGTCAAGGTCGGTGTTGAAGCTCAGTCCTCAGTAACAAGGTATTGTGGGTAATTCAGAATGTGCGTATACTTTAACTTATGGAAATTAACACAATGAGTGTAAAGATTCTCCATGCAAAGCTCGAGGAATATGTCCAAGGGTGACCCTTTGGTCCTGGGACTTGGAGGAAGTGAAAAAACACTCTTGGTGAGATGGCGGATGGGGGTTTTGCTCCACACTGCCCCCTCGTGGTAGTCTCCTCACCACACCCTTCTTACTGTAGTTCTAGAAAGACGGGCCTCTGCCGGGAGGGGGAGGGAGCAGAGGACAGAAGCAGGGGAGGTTGAGGGTCTTGGGCAGCAGGTTAGGAATGGGGCTGGGGTAACCTAGGATGTGGTTAAGGCTGAGGGCTTTCTCTCACCTGACCCTTTTTGTGTTCCAAAGCCACGCCTGAGGGTACCCTGAAACGTAGCACCGTGTCCCTCTTTGAGGAAGAGTCGCAGACCCTGGAACAGTCTCAGATGTGGCACCTCCTGGAGTGGGTGATGGGGACAGAAAAGAAGGGATCCAAAGGCAGAAGCAACAAGTGGTATGAGCTCTACAGGGGGTTGGGCAGCCTCCTGGCTTCCTCTTGTCTCCTTCTCGACTCCCCCCTCCACACCCTCCCACCCGGGCCTGCCCATCCCACCTCTCAAGGATGCAAGAGAGGGGTGCCTGCCAGGAACAGGGTCTGGACCAGAAGGCACAGGAGAACTCAGATTTTCCAGCCGTCCTGTCCGCGTTGCAGCATTGGTGCGGGCGATGGTGGTGCGGGCGATGGTGGTGCGGGCGATGGTGGTGCGGGCGATGGTGGTGCGGGCGATGGTGGTGCTGGCGATGGTGGTGCGGGCAATGGTGGTGCGGTCCGCCGTCCCAGAGACAGTTCTGAACCACCTGAGGGCTGGAGCAGTGCCCCCTCCCTACCCTGGCCTCAGTCAGAGGCCGGATCCTTCCCATTGGCCCACCCCAGCTAAAATGCACTTTGGAATCACACAGACCAGCATTCAAATCCCAGTTCCATGACTTACTGAGCCAAATTCTTACCACCCATGAGCCTCAGCTCTCACCTGTGCAATGGGAACCGTCGTGCCTTTTGCTCGGACGTGTGGCGACAACTCAGTAGGATAATGTCTTTGAGGTGCACGGCCCAGCGCCGGCACACGTGGCTCTGTGGTGGAAGGCCCCTGCCGGGCCGGTCACATCTGATGAGGGGATACTTCTCAAAGCCTCCTGGCCTCCGGGAAGCTCCCGCCTCAGGGCTCCCCAGGGCTCAGCAGCCACAGCTAAGGCCTCACTGCTGGCTCCACGACCTCGCCACGCTGCTCACCATCCACTGGCTGGACCGTTGGAGCCACTGAAGACGCTGTCGCTCTTCCCTGAACAAGGACAAGCCTGGGTTTTTATATCACAATTTTCATTTTTCTTCCCCAAGGACTTTCCCACGCCGCCGGCTGCCTAGTTGGCCCTCCTGTGCCCCAGCCTGGAATTGTGGTGGAGCCGAAAGCTATTCTGAGATCCTCTTTAGCCTCACAGCTATTTCAGGCTCTGGCGTAGACGTGTGGAGAGAACCCAGTGCTCTCTGCCCGTGTCTCAGTCCCAGCGTCCAAGACTGGTTCTTTCATGCTCCTGACACCCTCAGATCCTGGAGGTGGTGGCTGGGATGGAGCAGGAAGGGGCACGCACGTGCCACCCAGCCCGCAGCTGAGCTAGAGAGGATCCTGAAGGGTTAGGTCTAGGGGTTGAGACTGAGCCCCAGAGAGGCAGGCAGGGGTGCACCCCCACCCCATGAGCTGGCCGACTGGCAGGGGGTTGGGGGGCTGCCCCGTGTGGACCTGCAGTTTCCAGTCCTGACCACGTAAAGGAGCTCACCTCTGCCTGCTGAGTTCTCAGCGGGTGTACCTCCTTCTGGGCCAGCGTTCATTCACTTTTGCCACAAGTGTTACTGGGTGCCTGCTGTATGCCAGGCACTGTCCTAGGCTCCGGAGGCCCCAACTGTGGACAAAACAAACAAAACCCCCTGCTCTCATGGAGCTTTCATTTAACAGATATCATCCCAATGAACTTGCACTGGCCTTCACAGTTTGCAAGGCACTTTCCAAAGAGATAACCCTATTGGATTCTCTGCGCTAACACAATATATGTTGTTCTCTAATCGCCTGTTCCCATCTCATTCTCCCAGTAATTCTCCAAGTTAGACGCCATGCCATCCTGCTGACAAGGAGACGGAGTCTCCAGGAGAGTCACTAAACTGTGTGTGGCCCACACAGCCAGGAAGTGGCAGAGCGACTTTAGGGCCTACGCCAGATCGTGGGCACGGAGAAGCTGGCGGCATCCACTCACAGAGAAGCTGGCCGCATCCACTCACAGAGAAACTGGTGGCATCCACTCACAGAGAAGCTGGCGGCATCCACTCACAGAGAAGCTGGCGGCATCCACTCACAGAGAAGCTGGCCGCATCCACTCACAGAGAAGCTGGCGGCATCCACTCACAGAGAAGCTGGCGGCATCCACTCATAGGTGCTCAGGCTCCGTGAGACGCAGAGGGTTGGAGGTGAGTCCTGGGGGATAACGTGGCGTCCACGGTGGAGGCGACTTGCATATGCCCCACGCAGGGCTCCCTCCACCCCAGCCCACGTGAATGGAGAACGGGGCTCTGCCCAAGTGCGTGTGGGCTCCTGGGCACTCTGGGCACCGTGGGGCACCCCGCCCCAGGGCTGGGCACTGACAGTCCCGCGGCCTTTCCCGCCTGCGAAGCACCCTCCTCGTAACTTGCCCACCTGCATCCCACCCAGGGGTCTTTTCCTCCAACACAACCCCGCCCTACGAGGCTCTGGTTTGCTTTTTTGTCCCCCCAAAACCAACATATCCCAGACGGGTGTGGTGCCTCTTCTGCCCGCACATCTGATGCATTGCTTAGACCTGTCTCGTGCCTGTCTATACCATTGTCGAGCTGACAGTGGTCGGCAAACTCATTAGTCAACAGAGCCAAATATCAATAGTACTTCTTCAAAAATAGACTTGCCCAGGCCGAAAACCGACTTCTGTGCATGGGCCACGAAGTTTCAATCGCACTGTACGCGCGCCCGCACGTGGTATTTTGTGGAAGAGCCACACTCAAGGGGCCAAAGAGCCGCATGTGGCTCGCGAGCCGCAGTTTGCTGACCACGGGTCTACCACATTACTGCCCCGCGAGGGGCTCGGCCAGTGGTCACGGAGCGCGTGCTGAAGGAATTGGTGACTTCTAGCCCGTCTTAGTTGCATGGAGAGACCGGGCTGGTTATTATGTGGCCACAGCTGCCTCACAAAAGAGAAAGGTTTCTCTTCATTTTCCTCCGGTCCAGCTCACGACGTCAGTGTGGCCTCTGGTGTCCAACAAATATTTGTGGCCTCCAAGCATTATTGCTTGAAGGCGTTTCTGGAGGCTTTGGGGCCCTGGCCCCCCTGAGCTGGACGCCGAGTGTGAGATGGCTGGGGGTCTGCGCAAGCTGAGGCGTCTTGGTGTCTTAGCCACGCTGCCCACCTGCTAATGAAACTGATGGTTTGGGGGTGCCCAGGAGGACACAAAGGAAGGTGCCTCGGGGCCATGGAAGATGCCAAGATAATGCATGTGTGTGTGGCTCGCGGCTTGGTCCTCTGTGAGGCTGCTCTGTCCCAGGAGCCCAACTGCGACAATCAGCAGTGCGCCCGTCATTGGGGTGGCCCCTGGGATTGGCTCTCCTAGGGGGGGTCCGCCGGCCGCAAGGAGATTGCTGCTCAAAGAGCTCCCACTGAGCGTCCCTTGCACAGACCCCACTCGGAGGGCAAACAGCCAAGGAAAACACACCTGTGGACTCTCCAGCACCATGGTTTGGTTGGGTAATGTCTTTACCGTAAACCTCTGGTCCCTCCCCTCCCGATAAAAGTCTATTTTTGTCTACAATTCTACGTTAGGGCCATCCTCATCTAACTGAGGCCTAACTAAGGTCAGCGGGTTATTTATTTATTTATTTTTTTGGTTCAGAACACAATTTTTTTTTTTTAAACGAAATGCTTTCAGGCAGGATAAGCCTTTTCCAGTTGTCCCAGTTCCCACTGGCCCCTCCCATGTGGCACAGAGTATGTTAGGAGCAGGCAAGTGGCTGGGAGCATGGCCACACCACCTGTGTCTGAGTCCTGGGTCCACCCCTCACCTCTCTGTTCTCCCGCCTTTTCACCTGCAGAGTGGAAATAATAACAATTATCTCATAGGTGAGTTGTGAGGATTACTGCCTTAATACATCTAAGTGTTTGGTACAGTGCCTGGCCTTGGATTATACAGTGAGTATTGACTGGGCATGTACTATGGCCAATAGTATGGGGGATACATCAGGGAACAAAACAGACAAATCTTTGCCCTTATGGCACCCACATGGGGGCAGAGTGGGGGACAGAAAATAAAAAAGTAGATTATAGCCCTGGCCAAGTGGCTCCGTTGGTTGGAGCATTGTTCTGTGCAACAAAAGGTTGCGGGTTCAAGTCCCCATTGGGGCACATATCCAGGTTGCAGGTTCAATCCCCACAGAGGAGGCAACCGATCCATGTTTCTCTCTCACATTGATGATTCTCGCTCTCTCTCTCTCTCTCTCTCTCTCTCTCTCTCTCTCTAAACCAGGGGAAACATATCCTCAGATGAGGATTTTTAAGTGGATTATATAGTAAACATCATGGCAAATGCTATGGAGGAAGATACATCAAGGAATGGGGTGGAGAATGCTGGGGGTGCAATTCGAAAAGGCTAGTCAGGGAGACCCCGCTGAGAAGAGGCCTCCACAAGACTCCAGGGAGGTGAAGCGAGAGCCAAGTGGAGCTCGGGGTCGGCTATTTTTATTACGACGACCTGTCTGGTCCCCTGAGGCCTTTGAGTTTGTGACATTGCTATTCACGTCTGTGGACAGAGACTGTGGAAACCGGTCAGTGGTTCTGATCTTGATTGGAAAAAGGCAAGGGCGGTGGGCTGTGGATAGGAGCATGGACAGCGCAAAAGAAATAGCCCAGAGTTGTGTCTATCTCCTCTTCTTGAGGGAGGGCCGGGCACCATGCCCCTGGCCTGGGCTTGACCAGTGCCATCTATTACTACTATTGAGGGCCTGTGTGCAGGCGGAAGAGCAGTAGTCCTGACTGCGCGCTGGAAAAGAGTGAGAAAGAGTGATGGAGAGGGCAGGGTGGACACAGCCAAAGGCCCCGGGTTTCTGGTTGAGCAGATGATCCTGGGCCAAAGGCTGGGAGCCGTGAAGGGAGCTCTGTTTCCAGCTCATTAGAAACATCAGTGGTTTGACTGCAAGGCCAGCTCCTGATGGGATGGATGCACATCTAAGCAGATGGAGACATTTCTGCCCGAGTTGCTATTTTAACAGGCAACAATTTGTGTGCCCACCAGGAAACCAGGTTTGGTATGAAAATAGAGCCTTTCCCTGGCGTCTTGTATTCAGGGACCAGCAGTAGCTGGCTTCCTGTCCGTGCTGTTCTGGTGTAGAAAACAAGGCCCCAGAGGAGGGTGTGGGGGGAGGGGGAGGGACCCACGACTGCCAAGGCTGCTGCTTTTTCTTTTTCAGACACAAGAGAAGCAGAAGGAATAAGGAGGCTGACCGTCCCTGCCTCGTGCGGTGACGGTCGGAATTACAGGAGATGTCTCACAGAAAGGTTCCCTTCTCCTCCCCTCGGACCCCACACACAGCAGAGGAACCCCTTCTCTGGGAGAGGCAAGCCTCGAGGGGAGTGGGGGAGGCAGGGGGATAGAGAGAGGCAACCCAGCCTGGAGCTACAGGGAGGTCTGTGTGATCCTCTGACAGGGCCAGGCCCCCGAACCCCACTCTGAGGATGAGACCTATAACTGGGAGCAGAGTGAGCAGGGAAAAGGGGGACGGGGAGGATGTTTCACATCCTGGCTGGCAGTGGCTTTCCCATCTTTCCTTTCCTCCTCTGCCTCTGGCCCTGCCTTGTGTAAAAATGTCACTGGGCTACTATCCAAAAGATCCCATTGTTTCTCAATGCCTACCTGCGTCAGGACCTGTGCTTGCTTACAGGAACTGCAAAGGGTTCCCCACTGCGAACCAAGAGGGCGGGGCGCACAGCCCAAGGTGCGGAGCGCACAGCCCAAGGTGGCAATGGGGCCTCCTGTGCAGAAGGGCCCCAAAGAATGTGATCACTCCAGTCCCGGCCGGAGAAGGTGCCCCTAGTGCGCAAGCTCCCCTGTCTCCACTCCTGGGCCAGCGCCTCCCTTCTGCTCTGCTTTAGCGAATTGTCTCGTTCTGTTGGCGCCGAGGGCCCTGGGCAGAAGGACCTTGGTTTGGGTCCCCAGCCCCAAGGGTCAGTAATGAAGACAGTTGTCCCAGGTGTAGACGCTGAGCCTGCCTCTAAGGCGCACGGGAGGTTTACTGGAATGATTCTGGGTCTCTCACAGGATCCAGGGAAGCTGTGGGAAGGGCAGAGCAGGGCAGCTCTTGAACTCTGGAGCAGTTCATGCACTTGGACTCTGCTGTGGTTCATAACCCAGCTCAGCGTCCATGTCTCTAACCCCCATGTCCCTCAGCCCGCAGGTCACGTTGCAGGACTGACTGGTCCCGGTTGGGTCAGGTATGTGCCTCAGATCAACCCGTCAGTGACTTACCGGCATAGTAGACCTTGGAGGAGATCTTTTTATTTATTTTTGGTACGCCTCATCTGCGGGTATTTTTTCCATTGATTTTTAGAGAGAATGGGAGGGAGTGAGGGAGGTGGGGAGAGAGAGAGAGAAAGAGAAAGAGAGAGAGAGAGAGAGAGAGAGAGAGAGAGAGAGAGAAACATCAATGTGAGAGAGAGACATGAATTGGTTGCCTCCCACAGATACCCAAATGGGGAGGGGGAGCTGGGGGGGACTGACCCTGCAACCCAGTTCTGTGCCCTTGACAGGAAATTGAACCCGTACCCATGACCCTTCTGTGTGAGGGCCAACACTCTACCCACTGAGCACACCAGGCCAGGGTGGAGTGGATCATTTTTAACATCCTCCTCAACAAAGATATTTTCAGTAATAATCATGAAATACAGCTAGTAATAGTAATAGCATAAAAGAAGCACAGTGAAAAAGATTTATTATTGAGCTTTGTACATATATTCATGCTAATAAAATGTAATTTTAAAAGCAAGATGCAAACTAAAATACCTACTACAGTATAATAAAAGAAAAAAGGTAATGAAATAGTACTCTTTATTACATTACTGTGCTTTTTGGAAAAAAGGAAAATAAATTAGTACTTGCATATTGGTCTGTCACCAGTGATGAGTAATAATATTTCAGTATTTGTTTTCAGTTGTAACTTTCGTAAACTTGTAAGTAATTTTGTCAAAAATTAATATTTGCATATTCATGTTCAACAGGCAGTATAAGATAGGTCCATCTATCTTTGCTCGTGGTTGACCAAACAACAGTTTTTATTAATTTTAATTTAAAATTTTTCTATCATATGAAGTAATATGTAAAATAAGGATAAATTGAGCAAAGATTCCCAAAACTCCCATTTCACAATAAATTCAAAGAATTGCAATACTATCCATGTCTGTGTCTTAGGTATTAATTCCAGGAGCTTTCCAATTTGACACAGTTGAAAATTCTCTAGTAAAATAGAAATGTCATCAAACATCTTAATCATTTTTCGTTCACTCTCCCAAAGTTCTTGTTTTACAGAAATCAGAGGAAATGTCTGAATAACAGCAAACATTAACGCTATTTGACCCATTCATTGCTTTATATCAGGCATCCTGTTCTTGGTGGTCAGGATCAAGCCATTCAAACACGGCCCTTTGGGTTTCTCCTGTCTCGTAAGCCCAACATCTTTCCTCTTGGCGTTCACGACAGGACAACATTAAAGCAATTCAAGTTCTGTTTCTTCATGTTGGTAATCACTGTGCTATTATTGCTTCTTTCGAGTCTAGGTAAGGAGTTGGTAGCACTACAGAGCTGGGCACACAACGTGGGCGTGAATGGTTCCCAACTGTTGAGGACGTCCTGGAAGCGAGCTGTGTGGCTGAGTCTGCGTACTGCGTGCCTGAGCAAGCGGGAGTTCTGCAATTAGCTTTCATGTAGAATGCGAGCTCTAACGGTAAGTAATAAAAATGTGCTAACTGGAAGCTAGATACATATGATTAAAACACAGCAGCAGTGTGGCAGTTGTTTAGAGCTTAGGCCAACAAAGGATTTTTTTCAGGAAGGGCCTCTTTATCGTGCACGTTGTTTAGCATTGCCAGCACATGGTGGTAATAAAAAGCACATTGACTTCTGGTTAGTTATATTATTGCTTTTAAATTCCGTACCGACTTCCTCATTGCTGGCACCCAGGAAGGTTTCTCCCCGTGCCCAGCCTTTGGCACACTGCATGCAGCTACTGGTGCTGGTGGAGTGTGTTGGTGGGGGATAGAGACAAAGACGCATGGCCCACCCTGAGTTTTAGGGGGGTACTCAGAGAAGGGGGCGCTGTTATGGCTTAGGCAACTGCTCCACGTGGTGTCTTTTACATCCTCCCCCTTAGTTGCTTAGCATAGAACACACACACAGAGTTCACTTCAACCCATATGTCCTGCTGCCCAGCATGATCTGACACGCCCACATACAACCACAAATGCCAAGGGCTCTGAGCAAAGTTACGTTAGCTACTGCGTCCAAGGGGATGCCACGGAGCCATGCTCTCCATTCCTTCTCTAGTCAGATTGAGATCCCATCTGATATTCATCAGACTAACAAACAAAGCCAGTAATAACACATCCCATCCTCAAAGTCTACACCAGCACGATTTCCCTCATCTTCGCAGTAATCCTCAGCGAGTTCTTGTGTACACTTCTCTCTTCTCTACATTCATCCCACATAACCCCCTCCAGACCACAGGGAGTTCAAACGCTTGCCATCGAGTGGGCCTTGCTAGCGGGGAGCCCAGTAGGGCGGATGGTCGGGTTCCTCCAGTGGGTAGGAGTGGGGTGCAGTGAGGAATGTTCCAGAGAGGCTTGAAGGCTGGGGTACACCAGTCCCTCTACAGTTCCTCCTGTATGTCACAGCTTCCTCTGCCAGGATCCCATTTTTCCCTGATCATGTATGAAACGAGTGAGTTCATAAATGCAATCGCCTGAAGTGTCAGTTTCTGAACGTGGTTTTTAGTGATTTCAGACCAATAGCGAGTGGGATCATATTAAGACCTTGGCTTTGGACTTAGGCCTACAGGGAAGACCTCTGGGACGGAGTTTGCTGGTCCCTTACAGTAGGTGTTCTGAGGCACTCAGAAGCATCGCTGTCTGAGACAAGCAAAACTGGAAGACGAGAATCACATCGCAGGCCCACAGTCAAACAAACAGCCTCTCAGTCCTGTCCCCACCCAACTCCACGTTCTCTCTCCCCGGATTTTTCCCTGAAGCTTGCTCTTCTTAGAGTAGCACGGGCAGATTTAGAGTATCTACAGCAGAGGTCCTCAAACTTTTTAAACAGGGGGCCAGTTCACTGTCCCTCAGACATTCCATACATGCGCACTGCGGGCCCGGGAGGAGTCGACTGCTAAGCAGGACAGGCAGCGGCGGCAAAAACACCCGGCGGGCCGGATAAATGTTTTCGGCGGGCCACATGTGGCCCGCGGGCCGTAGTTTGAGGACGTCTGATCTACAGTCTGCCTTTGAATAAAGACAGCCCATTTTCAAGAGGAAGAAGAAGGATTCAGGCTTGGAGACAATGTTGGGGCTTCAATCTCACATTACTAACTCTTACCTGTGTTCTTTTCCTATGCCTCAGTTTTCCATCTGTAAATGAAGATAATAGTTTCTATCGTTTAGGGTTATTAAAGAGTACTTGGCACATATGAGTACTCAATACACATTAGCTCTCATTTTTATTGGGCATCTAATTATTGGGTACTCACTGTGTGACAGTCACTGTGTGTGTGTGTGTGTGTGTGTGTGTACACACAGTGTATATATAGACACCCACACACCATGTAATATTTCTTTGCTCATCAAGGTAGGTACATAGTCTGTTTTATTTACTGCTGGGTCTTGGTATCACAATGCCTTGGCATAGAATGCACCCAAAAACATTATTTGAGTAAATAAATGTTTCGAGAAATCCCTAAACATACACATATATGTGCGCGCACACATATGATTACAGAGCATCCAATTTCAGGAAATATTTCGGTATACAAACTCTGAGGTTTCAAGAGAAGAGATTAACTCAGCAACTTGGAAGGACTCGAGGAGGGAGTGGGAAGTTGTCCCCAGTGAGGAGATAATGCAGAGGAGGAGGAGAGAGAGAGAGGAAGTCCTGGGAATCTGGACTGTTAGCACCAGGTTGGCTGGCCACCCCTATGGGCCCCTGTCTCGGGCCCCCCAGGGGAGGCTGCCCGGATTCTCACAGGGTTTTCTCCCGGGTGGGGGTGCAGGTTTCCAGCGCTTCCTCTGGACCATGTGTCTAGTGAAGCAGTAGTTGCTTCCCTCGAGACATCCAGAAGCTGCTTTTCTCTTTAGGCCAGTCTGCTCAGTGTTCCAGAGCCCTGGGGGTTGTTTTAATGACAATTCCTGGGCATTCTGTCATTTGCTGAGTCACTGCTTAAGCACATGCCTGCAAAGGGGTCTGGGACTCCCCTGACTAAAGCAACAGGCTCAAACTCACCGCAGCTGATCTCCAGGGTTATTCCTGCCAGGTGAGCTCCCCACTTCCCATCTGGCACAGACCTTTGTCCGTGTGCTTTTCCCAGGATTCACAGGCTGCCGTGACCTTCAGCGGGAGCACTCCACCGTCCTGCTCAGCTTCTCCTAGGACCGTGGTCGGCAAACTGTGGCTCACGAGCCACATGCGGTTCTTTGGCCCCTTGAGTGTGGCTCTTCCACAAAATACCACGTGCGGGCGCGCATACAGTTGAAACTTCGTGGCCCATGCGCAGAAGTCGGTTTTCGGCCTGGGCGAGTCTATTCTGAAGAAGTGCTGTTGATATTTGGCTCTGTTGACTAATGAGTTTGCCGACCACTATCCTAGGACCTTCTGCCCGTCCACTTCTGCTGGGGTTCTTGTTCCAGCATTAAGAAGGGTTCAGCAATCTGGAGAAGGCTGTGCATAGATTAATAAAGAGTCCAGAGACAAAATATAATTTTGAAAGGCATTTGGGGGTCAGAGGAGCTTAGCTTAAAGGAAACTAAGATCTAAGTTTCTAAGGTCTAAGGTCTTAGGTCTAAGGTCTCCTTGCCTCAAGATCCCATGCTTTTTATTAACACAACTTGTCCTGAGACAAGGTAGAGATATACACTTCAAAGGGTATACACAAGCGTTGTCAGAATGGGGGAATTAGCCTAGGGCAGGTATTTGGCCAGTAGGAGGCTATAACATGTAGATTAAGATGCCCTTTATTTTATTTATTTATTTTTAAATATATTTTATTGATTTTTTACAGAGAGGAAGGGAGAGAGATAGAGAGTTAGAAACATCGATGAGAGAGAAACATCGATCAGCTGCCTCCTGCACATCTCCTACTGGGGATGTACCCGCAACCCAGGTACATGCCCTTGATCGGAATCGAACCCGGGACCCTTCAGTCCGCAAGCCGAAGCTCTATCCACTGAGCCAAACCGGTTTCGGCTAAGATGCCCTTTAGCTGGCAGCCAACAATCATCCCTTTTCAGGTTTGGGGAAATGCCATCAGCCATTCCCAACAGGTAACTACATATGTGACTCAACCCTGTTGAGTCCCCAAGTTCCATCAACCTTTTGATGAAACTCTTGAAATTATGACATGCTGGAATTGGCTTCCGGCAGCTTCTCCATCCTAGTTTCTGGAGACAGGCCAAGCCTGAGCACTCGAACCAAAAAATGCGAGGGGCTGGTGGGGATCACTTCTTTCTATCTGCTCTCTAGAGAAATAGCAGGCACCCACATAAAGTGGAGTTTAGCAATCTCACACTAAGCCACAAAGCCTTAATAACGTAGTCCTCCTCATTTGGGAATTTTTAAGGCTTAGAGGTATTCAGGATAATTCTACTAGTTTGGCATATGGTTGATGTAGACAGAAAGCTCTTTATCCATTAATCAGTACAGTACTTGAGCAGCAAGCTTTCATCCAACAGCAATCAATAAATTACAAATGGCTTTATGTAGTTAGAAATGATGGGCCTGCAAAATGAGCTCATTCATTTAAGCATTCGGTCATCAAAAATATAGTGAGAACTTGCTTGCTATGTGGAAGGCTGCTAGGCAAGTGGGAAATACTGAGACAAATTAGGAGGGAACAAATATTGATTTTGCTGCACATAATCTTGGGTGCTTTGCCAATCTTTGCATTTACACTTTGCAACAACTTTGTAAAGTAATGTGGCAAAAAACCTGGTACTTGTCCCCTCCATATTCATTCTTCCAAAATATTTCTTAATAGGATGATGGAAGAATCAGATACTCAGGCCTGGTAAATGTTTCCTAAGCCTCCCTTGCAGCTAGGTGTGGTCATGTGACTACGTTCTAGTTGACAGGATTGGCACTAAAGTGATATGTGCAATTTTGAGGTGAAGCCCTTACTAAGGGAGCTATTTCCTCTCTGCTCCACCTTCCCGGGAACTGGAAATAGATGTGGCTTAGGGCTGGTGAGTAAGCTTTAGTTCACCTGCACAGCATTAGAGTAATGAGGCAAAAAGAACCTGGGTCTCTGGCTGGCTTCAAAGAACAGTTTCCTACCTGTCCTCAACCATCTGCCCACCAATGGGTCATTACATAAAAGGAGAATAAATTTCTATCTTCTTAGAGTCGTTCTACTTGGAAGGAAAATAAGGAAGTTAAGAAAATTTTTCTAAGATCACTGAAGTACAGATCCAGGACTGATGTGTTCTGCTACCTCATGCCACTGGCCCTAACGTAAGCAGAGCGCCTCGGTTGTGAAACCCTTGGGTTTCTCAAGAAAAGCAGTTGTCCTGCCAAGATTTTAGTGGGTCATCTTGGGAAAAGCTCGATGCAAAAGGTGAGGCCAGCACTCCCCGAATGCCTGCTAGTGCCAGACATCCTGATGTGCCCCCTACATACGCTGTTGATTGAAGACCCAGATGTCACGCTCAAAATGTGCACAATCTCGGACGACATGTGCTTAAATGACAGAGAGTTCTACACAAGAAAGAGCAAAATAAGTGCTAAGTGGGTGGAGAGCATGGAAACGGTGTGTCTGGCTGCATAGGATCAGGAACAGCTTCAAGGAGGAGGGGGCACTGAGCTTGGGCTTGCAGAACAGGTGGCATTAGGGAGACCGAGCATCGCACGTAGAGAGGAGCGTGAACAATGGACAAGAAGCTGGGCAGCACCAGAAGCTGTCCCTCATTGTGGCCGGAATGGCAGATCCATGAGGGGTGACAATGACAGGTGGGCTGGGTCAGATTAGGGTGGAATTCAGGGCGCAGGCCAAAGAGCTCAGACTTCATGTGTAGGGTCCCGGGTGCCTGTAGGGTTCTGAATAAGATGGTAGAAAATTCAGAATTTGGTGACTATTTCTTAAGCCCCTCCTGGCCCCTTGGCACTGAATAAAGATGAACCCGTCTGCAATGTGGTTGGCAATGACACCGTGGAGGAGGCGAGGCCAGACAGGAAACCAGGAGGCCAGCTAGGAGGCTAAGTGGGGAGGCAGCAGCGGGAGAGAAGAGGGGGGACGGATGTAAGAGACGTAGGGAGGGCAGCACCCACAACGCTGGGCAGCCCACTGGGAGTGGGAAGCAAAGGGGAGAGAGGAGCCTGTGACAACTAGGAGGTTTGTTTTCATCTAGAACAGTGGTTCTCAACCATGGCATTAGAATCACCTGGGAATCTTTTTAAAATCCTGATTTCTGGGCCTCATCCTCCGGAAATTCTGTTTCTTTGTTACTAATGTTGTGGCCCCACCCCATAACAAAGAAACTGAATTTCTGGAGGATGAGGCTCAGAAATCAGGATTTTAAAAAGATTCCCAGGTGATTCTAATGTGCAGCCAAGGTTGAGAACCACTGATCTAGAAACTGGAAGGAGAGAAAATTACTTAAAGAGACTCTGACCAGCTTTTTTTTCTTAATTAACACGGTAAATGAGACGTTCTGCGCTGCACTGGAAAGACCTCCCTTTCCTGGGGAATGGTTTACAAGTAGATAAGGAAAAAGTATGCCGGTCTTGGCGTATTGCACTTCTCTGAAGATGATCGTGGTGGTGGGAAACGGGGATTAACTTCTGAGGAGCAGAATTCCCGCTCGGCCTGGGAGCTGTCAGGGCTGAGCCCAGGCTCCGTGTCTCCGAAGCCCTTCTCCCTGGGACTCTGCTTGACTCTTTTTTTAGCTGTCAGATAACTTTTTCATCTGTAAACATAGTCAAAGCTTGAAAATACCTTGAGGAATCTTAGGAATCCCAGTAATCAGTGAGAGGACTAGCTATCTGCATGGACAGGCTCCGCAGCACCCACTCAGCACGCTTCCCGGGGGGAAAGGAGAAGGCAGCCATTCTTATGCCCGGCTGCCTCTCTCTTTGCCCTTCTCTCTCCTGTCTCTGATCACCTGGTATCACGGGACATGGACAGGTAGCTGGGCAGGGTTCCACTCTGGCAGCAAAGCAAAATCAGAGCTCAAGGCAGATGTCGAACCCATCCTGTTCACACACCAGCTAGTAAATGAAGAGTGTTAGGCTCCGACAGCCAAATATTCTGCATTCCTGAGAAATCTAATCAGTTTCTCATTCTGGTGAACATGTTCACATAGAACGTTGCTATCACAAACCAAGTGGGCGTACCTTTTTTTAAAAAAATAAGTTTTTATTGATTTTAGAGAGAGAGGAAGGGCCAGGGAGAGACAGAAACACCAATGAGAGAGAAATATGGATCAGCTGCCTCCTGCACGCCCCCTTGTGGGGATTGAGCCCAAAACCCAGCATGTGGACCGAACCGGCCACCTCTTGGTGCATGAGACGATGCCGCACCAACTAGCCCACACCAGCCGGGCAAAGGAGTACCTTTTTAACTGTTGATTTATCACTCAAAGATTCGAATTGAGAAACTGAAATATAATAGTTTATATCTTCATATTTTTTAAAAACTCTTCCACGAAAATAAAGCCAGGCATCAGCTTTCAATATAAGGGGACATTCTCTTGGAGGCTCCATAAAGCTAAGTCCACATACTTCATTTCTTGTTCTTTTTTCTTTTTTAAATATATTTTATTGATTTTTTACAGAGAGGAAGGGAGAGGGACAGAGAGCTAGAAACATCGATCAGCTGCCTCCTGCACACCCCCTAATGGGGATAGGCCCGCAACCAAGGTACATGCCCTTGACCGGAATCGAACCTGGGACCCTTCAGTCCTAAGGCCGACGCTCTATTCACTGAGCAAAACCGGTCAGGGCACACATACTTCATTTCTTGTTCTTTCACAGCATCTGTGGGGCCACCGTTGTCCTGTTCAGGTTCAGGAAGCTTATTCAGGGTATTGCCACATCCTGAAGGCATCTTGTCTTCTTGCAGAGCCTTGTCCATCAAACCCATCTCCGTGTCTCACAGTTCACTCTCCGGCAGTTGTGACCTTGTCAGATTGGCCCCTGACCCACCACAGCATGCGCTTCCCCTGAGCCCGCTCCGGCTGATTTGTGTCCCCTTTCATGCGTCCTCCACTGTCCAACGTCTAGACTCCTGCATCTCAGCTACGGTCAGACTGGAGCTGGGGCCTCATCTCTGCTGGGTTAGGGCAGCGTGGGCACTGGGGGTGGGAAGCAGTTGGCTCTGTTTCTTGAGCCTTATTAGTCCTTCAGCAACCATTATTTTATACTTCCTGCCACTTTGTTCTTATAGGAAACCTACTGCTCATGCAATCACTGTCTCTCAGCACAATCGACTCAGCCCAGGAGACCTGCAGCCAAGAGCTCAAGCATTGGACACCATCCCTCTTTCGGAAGCCTCAGCACGTACCGCCACTGTGACAAGAAACTCGTCACTGGACTTGGGGTCCTCCTAACGGGCTTCTCTCCTTCCACTCATGGCAGCCAGAGGAAACTGTTAAAATGCAAATAAGATCTGGAAACAGCCCAAGTGCCCCTCAGGAGGTGAGTGGATAGAAAAGCGGTGGTACATGTGCACAGTGGAATACGATGCCGTCGTAAAAAGGAAGGCTCTCTGACCCTTCTGCAATAGCGGGATGTGCTCTAGGCAGTTAGACCGACAGGATCAGAGCAAGGACGATGGGCCCGGTACAGCAGGCCACCAGGATGGAACGCCCAGGTGCCTAGCAACGGACAGTCACTTGTACGGTGGGACCTTGGCTCCAGGGTGACTTTTCCTCCCCTAGCCCTTGGCTGCTCATGCAGTTTGGAACCCTTGACCTTTCCTCCCAGAGATAACACCTATCCCTCGGTTGTATTTCAGCTCCAGGCCCAGGTAAGCAATAAACCCAGCCCTGGCTGACCCCAGGACCAGCTGCATTGCATGATGACCCCCTGCGCTGCTGTCGGCCAATCCATCAGTGGAGGCCACAGCCCTGAAAGGACACACCTGGAAAACTGCTGAATATTAAGATCTTTTCCCTCAGGTCTCCCCTAAAATCTCCACCCTGAAAACCCTTAGGATGGAGGACCCAGAGGACCCAGGATCCTGAAGCACGCCGTGCCTTTCCCTCCCCGCACCCACAGGTGTTACCTTAAGTTTCCTCACCCCCATGCTCTAAGGGCCCTTCCTTTACCTCTGTGACTTGTTTTCTAAGCCCATTTCTTCTAGAGCAGTGGTTCTCAACCTTGGCTGCACATTAGAATCACCTGGGAATCTTTTTAAAATCCTGATTTCTGGGCCTCATCCTCTGGAAATTCTGTCTCTTTGTGATGGGGTGGAGCCACAACATGAGTAACAAAGAAACAGAATTTCCAGAGGATGAGGCCCAGAAATCAGGATTTTAAAAAGATTCCCAGGTGATTCTAATGTGCAGCCAAGGTTGAGAACCACTGTTCTAAGAAGTACTTCTATCTCTGGAATTTACCCAGTAAGTGTTCTCTTACAGTTTGGGTCTTGCTCTGAAACCTTTCCTAGCCAGAACCCGAGTCCCGAGGTTGCTGAACCCAGCTTTGCTCTGACGGGTCATGATGCCGTTCCTGCTGCCTACAACATGTTGGCGTGTGCTCCCCATTATCACCGCCCATGCAGAAAGCCAGGTGTCAGCTCTGATAGTCCTTCTCCTCCATGTCCTGTTCTGTTACCTCCTCCATTCCGCTCCCTCCCTCTTCATGCCCAAAGCCCTGGTCCAAGCCACCATCATCTGTCCACTGGACGACTACAGCTGCCCATGACTGGCCTCCCCGCTTCCATCCACTCGTCTGTTTTACACTACAGCTAACCTGACCTTTCCAGAATGCTCACCGGATCGTGTCACCGAGCCTACCACACCTGCAGGGCGGCCAGCCTCCGCTCACAGCCCATTCCCCTTTGCTCTCTGCTCCACCAACAGGGGCAGCATTGACATTTCAAATCAGATCATCCTTTGTCGTAGGGGATTGTCCTGTGCGTGGTAGGGTAGCTGGCACCATCTCCGACTTCTACCTGCTAAAGGTCAGCGGCAACTCTCCCCCCAAGTTGTGACACACAAATATTTCCAGACGTGGCCAAGTGTTCCCTGGGGGGCAAAGTCTACCGCCCCCACTGAGAACCTTCCCTGTGTAGCTCTGTCTTCTCTCCTGAAACGAGGGAACAGGCTGCTCCCTCTGCCTGCAGCTCTCTCCTGCCCCTGTTCCTAGTTAACCTCTCCTTGGCCCCCAATCTCCAAGCCACCAGCACTTCCTCAGGAGAAGCCTCTCTGGTCCCCCGTCCTGAGCTCTCCTCACGTGGGGTACGGCTCCTGTTGGTTCTTAGTGCATGGTCATCAAATCAAACGTTCACTGACATAGTTGTAATGTTGCTTTTACTCGTATGGGTATTTGATTAATGCCTGTCTCACCCAACGGACCACAAGCTCCATGAGGGCAGGACTGGACTTGTTTTTGCTGTCACTGTACCCCCGGGGTACACTGTATCCCCTCGTTCCTGACCCACAGTGGGCAGCCCCTCAGTGTTTGTGGAATTGATTAATGTATGAAGATGCAGCCCCTGCCCTCCCAGAGGTGTTTTCGGGGAGACGCTAGGGCAAATAAGCAAATTCAACACAAAATGTTCTGTGATGAAGTCATTATGCACTGGGAGTGGACAGGGTGCCTCCCACCACCTTAGGGAGGCCGGGGGGTGCGCCTGGAGGAGGTGGCGCCCCAGATCCTGTCAGGAGACCTGAAGGGAACTGAAGAGGTAAGTGAATGAGGGATGGGAGAGAGCCACGGGGAAGGCAGGGGACGCCAGGTAGAAGGTTAGTTGGGCAGAGACAGAAGTAAGACTCCGTGGCTCTCAAGTCCCACCACCTCCTTTCCCTCTTGTCCCAGGCCAGGGCCCCATCAGGAGGGGCGAGCCCCTGCTGCCTCCCAAGTAGGTAACCAGCCATCCCAGTTGTCCAGGGCTGCCTTGACTTTAGCACTAAAAGTCCCACATCCGGGGGAAGCCCTGGTCCCTGCACGAACCAGACATCTGGTCACCATGCCCAGAGCTTGTCCATGGCTGTCCAAGCCACCTGGAAGGAACAACTGCAGCAGGCAGTTGGACAGACAGGAGCAGAGCAAGGACAACGGGGCAGGCACAGAAGGCCATCGGAGTGGACGATCAATTGTAGGGTGGAACCGTGCCCGCAGGGTGACTTCTCCTCCCCCAGCATTTCCCTGGTCATGCGGTTTGGACCCTCTGACCTTTCCTCCCTAGAGATAGCATCTATCCCTAGGCTGTATTTCAGCTCCAGGCCCAGATAAATAATAAAACCAGCCACAGCTGCCCTGAGGCCCAACTGCTTGAAATAATCACCCCCTGCCCTGGTGCGGGCCAGGCCCATCAATTAGTGGAGACCACGACCCTAAAAGGACACACCTGGGAAGCTGCTGAATATTCTATTGAGAGCTTTCCCAGGGACCGCCCCTAAGCCCTCCGCCCTTAAAGCCCTGAGGACCCAGGGAGGGCCCAGCGAGCTCTCCCTCCAGCAAGAACGCTTTTGCTTTTCCCTTCCTCTCTGTCCCCCCAGGCTCCTTACCATTAGCTTCTCACTCCCAAGCCTCCATGGCCCTTCCTTTACCTCCATAACTCGTTTCCCAAGCCCATTTCTTCTCGGAATTACTTCTTCTGCCTCCATAACTTACCCGATCAGTGTTCTTACAGTTTGGGTCTTGCTCTGAATCCTTTCCTAGCTAGAACCCAAGTACTAAGGTTGCTGAACCCAGGTTTGGTCAGACACATGGTCCCGTTCTCGCTGCCTACAACACAACGAGGCATCTGACCACCTTGGAAAGGTCTCTGGACTGAGGCCCAGAAGCCTGGGGTTGAGTCCCGGCTCCATTCCTCACAGACTGCTAATTCCAGGGAAGTCACGGCTCCCTCTCCTCGGGCCCCGTGCCTCGCACCTGCTAGAAGGGCTACTGAGAATGTCTATAAAAAAATGCTTCGTAGGCTTTGAAGTGGAAGGAATTTTTATTATCATTCCTTTCTGGATCATTTGGGCCTGGAAGGACTGGAAATCCCTGCCGGTCCTGTCCTGGGCTCAGGGAGGCTGCTCGGGTCAGCGACCTCCCTCCAGGCGGCCGCAGCCAAAGCCCTTGGACGGCCGCCTCCTGGGCTCCTGGGCTCCCGGGCTGGCGGCTCCCCTCCAGCTTGCACCTCCTTTTGCTTTAACAAACACATTTAGAGTTTAGAGCGATGAATCCACTCTATAAAGTGCTCCTCTGGGGGAGAAAAGCTTCCCATTTCTTCTGAGAGCACACATGCCCCAGAGCAGCGCTTCCTGGTGTGATGTTCCAAGAAAAACAGGGGGGAGACCTGCAGCCAAGATCTCGCACTTGCACTGGGGCGGGCCCTGCTCATAAAAGCAGGAGCCAGCATCCTCTCCTCTCCTCTCTTCCTGGAAAGCCCTGGGCTGTTGACTCGGGTTCCCCTCCCCAGGGGGTGCTGCACATCCACGCAGCCCACAAGGAGGTGGCATGTGACCCGGGCCTGCCTCTCGGGCACCAGGCTGGGGAGCAGACCCTGAGCACCCGGCAGGTCTGCGGCTCCCTTGAGCGCCACGTGGGCTTGGCGGCAGCAGCTCCTAGGCCCAGGGACATCACCGCAAGCTCCAACATCGCACCGGCCACCCTTATCCTAAAATGCCTGTGTTGTTTATCTGCAGTTCAGGTTTAACTGGGCAGCCTGCATTTTTATTTGTAAAATCTGATAGCCCACGTTAGGAGCCGGTTCCTGAGGCCATGTTTTACTTCCTGGTAGGACAGGCCATCCTAGCAATGGACAGTCAATTGTAGGGTGACCTTGCCGCCCCTAGCACATCGCTGGTCATTGGGTTTGGAGCCCCTGACTTTTCCTCCCTAGAAATAACATCTAGGCCTCAGCTGTGTTTCAGCACCAAGCCCAGCTGCATGGAATAATGACCCGCTGCCCTGCTGCTGGCCGATCAGTCAGTGGAGACCACACCCTGAACGGACACACCTGGAAAGCTGCTGAAGATTCTATTGAGATCTGCCCCTGGGACCTCCCCTAAAATCTCCACCCATAGACCCCTAGGAGGACCCAGAGCTCTCCCTCCCGGGAGGACACCTGTGCCTTTCCTTCCCCACCCCCCAACCCCGCTGAGATTTTGGGCCCAGGCTTGTGTTGCCTGGGTCAGCAGACTCCCCGGCAATGCCAGGGGGCTCCAGGGGTAACCTGTTCTGAGGTCTATACCTAATGAGCAGAGAGGCGAGCTGAATGTGGGCTTGGAGGCCATCACACCTGAGCTTCGTGCGAGGTGTTGAAGACACACACAGAATGACTGTGGTTGGGTTCAGTGAGTGAGCCTTCCCGGGAAAGAAGTGTGGCAGGGCCTTTGGCTGGGCAGCAGCCCGCGGCTGAGATGCTGGAGAAGTGAGGGGTAGACATCACCAGGTTGTAACACATCTTTGGCACTGGGTTTCGGCTACTGTCAAATGGAGCCTCGAGTATCCATGACTTTGCAAGGGCCTGGGAGAAAAGGTGTTGGCATTGCAAGCTCTTTTCCTGAACTTTCAAAATAACGAAGGCTCGTTTGGTGAACTAGGTAGGCTTGGTGGAGGCCCGGTAGCAGGAAAGGCAATGGTGGTGGTGGGGGCGGGGGGAGCCCCACGAAGAAACACTCCGCCAAAGAAGGAGGTGGGAAGAGACAGGGCTAATGAAGGAAAGTGCTGATTCTAGACCAGCTGTGGGCAAACTACGGCCCGCAGGCCGGATCCGGCCCGTTTGAAATGAATAAAACTAAAAAAAAAAAAAAAGACTGTACCCTTATATGTAATGATGTTTACTTTGAATTTATATTAGTTCACACAAACACTCCATCCTTGCTTTTGTTCCGGCCCTCCGGTCCAATTTAAGAACCCATTGTGGCCCTCGAGACAAAAAGTTTGCCCACCCCTGTGCTAGACACAGCGTGCAGCTGACTGGGAATCCATCTTGACTCTCACCCAACTGGCGTGTCTTGGAGGGCGGGGGACAAGGCTACGTGTGTGAACTAAAGGAGCTGGCCAGTAAGAGTTGTACACTTAGGGCGCAGGCAGTTTTCCTGTTGAAGTCCTCATGGTGGCTACCTCCTCCCATTCCCCAAGGACACTGAGGCTGGACAAACAGACATAAACTCTACAGGCAGCTGTAGAGACCCAAGCTGGGCTCTGGGGACAGCGGGAGTGGTGACTCAGTCAGCGC